TTGTCAAACAGAGGAGCGGGGCCTACAGCTCCAATTTTACTAGAAAGCGCTACTGTCCTTTCAATTCTGCTTCTTGGTGTTTCCCCGGTTTAGGGTTCAGGGGGACACCCGCATGTTTAGGATGTTTCAGGGGGATTTTTGGACCTCATATTTTGTGCTAGACAGAGAACTGCAGCCTATACCCTGACCTCATTTTTCACAGCAAGCTGAGGAAGGTCTAAAGCACCCTTAAACCCTAAATCCTAAGGCGAGCGGAGGCCGAAGCTTTGGCTCGTCTGGTAAGTAGCCACCCTGAGCAGGGGGGTGTTTGAACACATTTGAAACTCCTATTTCCTTTAGGAACAATATGAGCTACAGTCTTAAGTCCTTAATGTGTGGTTTTAAAGGGTTTTGGGGGACTATTATAGGTTTCTGGGGTGGATACTAGGGGTTTAGACTATAGCTCATATAATGCCCACAAAAAACATGACAGTCCACTTGTATGGGCCAGCAAGTCTACCCTAGTGAGGTTTAGGGCTTTGGGTTTAGGGTGAAAGATATTTCCCTTCTTCGTGTGACCCCCATACCTTGAGATGTTGTGAGCAGGATTCGTCCGAATTTTCAGCCTCAAGCTCTAGGAGCTTTCCGGATTGATGACAGGGTTCCCTGAATTGCAGAGATGTGTGGTTTAGGGTTTAGGGGTTTAGGGTTTAGGGATCCTGGTTACCCTGACAAGATTTTCCAGATGAGGACCCTGAAAGCCTATTCCCCAAGCCCTACTATAATTAGACAGGCCCCTACGTGTGTGGGCCCTTAGCCCCTACCCTAAACTCCATGACCTAAACCTCTGAGGCATGTTCTAAAACACTAAAACCCTAAACCCTAAATCCTCAACCCTAAACCCGCAACCCCAAACCCCCAACCCTAAACTCGAAGCCCCAAAGTTCTTCTAACGACAGAACTGCGAGCTTGCCACGCGGCGCCATGGTGTCAGCAGTGCAGGGCGACAAGGACAATTACCGAGGTCGGGGCAGCCTCCAGGGTTTGAGGGTTTGGGGTTTAGGATTGAGAGTTCAGGGTTAAGGGATTTAGGGTTTAGGGTTTAGGGTCGAGGGTTTAGGGTTGATGATTTAGGGTTGAGGGGATAGGGTTTAGGGTTGAGGTATGAGGGTTTAGAGTTTAGGGTTGAGGGTTTAGGGTTTGGGGGCTTGTTGAGGTTTTGGGAGCTCTAAGCCCGTAAGGTTTGTTCAAGGGTTTGTTAGGGGTTGTGGGTGTAGGGCCTCCAGGGCTTAGCGAGCTCGGGGTCTCAGAGTGACGGCTTCGAGGAGCACTTCAGCATTTCCCTGGCCTCTGGTCTTTTCTAAGGTCCCCGCCCCTAAACCCTAAATCCGGAAACCCTATGGAGGTCATCTTGTGGGAAGTCAAGCGGCAGTGTGGTCATCCGTCACCCTGCCCGTCAACCTCCCATTGCAAGCCCTAGCACCGAACCTCAAAACCTATATGGCGCGTTCGTTTCATTTTGCAAGTTCTCAGAATGGAAGCGCCGGCCTAAATCCTAGATCCCCTAATCCCTACATAGTCCCCATATAAGCCCCATATAACCCTTTTGTAATCCTCATATAATTCCCAGCCGCCCGGCCCTACATCTTGAACCCTAAGCCACAACTCTGGGCTCCTAGCTTCGAAAAAGGAGTGTTCGATGGCTGCCTGGGCTTCGGTCAGAAATCGGCCGTCATCGTCATCGACTTTACCCAGGCACTCCCAGACACACCAAACCCTGAACCCTAAACCCTTTAGGGTTTAGGGTCTCAGGGCTTAGGGACACAATCCCCTAGCGTGGATGCAGGGAATCTTGCACCGCCCTACATACCGTACACCCACCCTAGGAGCTACAGTTTTGTGGCGTTCCTAGGTGGTGCAAGATTTTGACCATCCATCAGTGTTCCCAATTTTTAGCCAGTGCACGTAGGGTCTGCTCTCGATGTCTCTGGAAGAATCCAAGACTTGGATCCTGAGGATGTAATTGCAATCAAGCACTTCCGAAGCCCAGCACTACATGAATTAGTTGCACGACACTTAGTAATACAAATGATATTCTGAACCAATATTCAAACCCTAAACCCCAAACTCTACTAGCCCGAAAATGTACAGAGGCATACGTTAGGTGGACTCCCCACCCTGTAATAGTGGGGTACTAAGAAGACAAGAGGACCCTATAATACGGTTACCATTATCCTTTATAGTCACTATGACAGGGTAGGGGGTCCACCTGAGGCATACCCCTAAACACTAAACCCTGAACCCCACCCTAAACCCTAAACCCTAAACCCTAAAGGCATACACAACGGCGGGAAGTCCATGGTACTGTCCCGGTGCCGGCTTCGGAGTGGTGGATGCTGTGGCAGAGTCGAAGCCGCTGGTGGAGCTCGCGAGGGCCAAGGGCATCCCGATTTTCTACACCAAGGTGCAGGGGGCTTAGGGTTAAGGGGTTATTTAGGGGTTATATAGGGTTATACAGGGGTTGTATAGGGGTTGTATGGGGGTTATTTAGGGGATAATGGAAAAGAAAATGGAAGCTACTATTTCTACACCACGGTGCAGGGGTTAGGGTTCAGGGTATGGGGTTGAGAGTTTAGGGTTCCTCGCTTTACCTCCCCCAATTCAGGAATAAGAACCTCCAAAACACGGGCTTAGGAGGAACATTACACTTCTTTGGGGGTGTCCTTGAGAAAGGGTGCTGGGGACAAATGAAGGTGTACTATGAACATCCTACGGACGGTGGCATCTTCACGCAGAAGATCCCGCGTCTTCGTACCTGGACCAAAGATAATCCGCTGGTCCAGATTGATGAGAATATAGCCCCTCATGAAGGTGATGCCGTGCTTGTGAAGCAATATCCGTCCGCCTTCTTCGGGACAAATCTGGCATGCAATCTGCGTGCAATTGGTGTGGACACTTGCATCATGGTTGGCTGTTCCACGAGCGGCTGCGTCAGGGCTTCCGTCCTTGATGGCATGCAGCAAGGTTTTCGATGCATCGTGCCGCGCGAGTGTGTGGGCGACCGCACGCAGAGCATCCACGAGTCCAACCTCTTCGACATGAACGCAAAGAACGGCGATGCCTGATGCTTACACATGACATTTCCATATTCCATATGTATGGTTCCTAGGCTTCAAGTGTTGTATGTAGGGTTCTGACATGCGTAGAGACAGGGTGACTTGAAAATCATGAGGGCTTGTTTTTTTTTCAAGCTGTGTGATTGCTTAGCACATGATACATCACATGGATGCCCTGTCTCCCGCAAACCCATAGCAATAATGGCAATAGTAATAATAGTAATACTAAAATATTAGTAATGGTAATAGCAATAAGATTAGTAAGAGTAATAAGGTCGTGACCAAGAAGAGCGTCATGGAGTATCTGACAGACCTGGAGGATCCCGTCGTGTGGAGAGTGCTTATGGCAGTTTTCTCAAGATGATCCTAATCCTGTGGAGACCCCTATAGTCCCTTCATGATCTCCATATATGCCTGGGTTTCCTGAGGTTGCTTCATGTGTGAGCAACTCTCCATATGAGGCATAGACTAGTACTGTATGGGTCCATTCATCGAGCTGAACCTGGAACAGGGCTTAGTGTTTGAGTCCGTTAGTTCTTCCAGTTTTGGTGGCAGTGAGTCATCTTAACTGGGACCACGAAACGAATCTGACATCGTAAGGAGGTTGCCAGTTGTGGCTAATGCCCGCACTTCTACACAGGGGAGAGCCATTCATAAGTGAATGCTGCACTGAAACCAGCACTGTGCCAAATGTGCAAATGCAGGACCCACATGACGCTAATCCCGAAACCCGTGTTGGGTTTTGGGGACTGAACCACTCTGGCCTCACGAATCGTAGGACTCAGCGGAGACTCCTGCGAAGCGCCGGCGCGAGGAAAGCCGGAAGCTGGAGCTCAGCGTCAAGGAGGTGAAGGCCATCGGAGCACCAGGATGGGCTATTAGACCTCAAGGGTACCCTTTTCTACTCTTATTAGGGTCCTAATAGGGAATTTTAGGGTCTAATAGCCCATAGTGGTAAGGTAGAAGCTCCAGAGTCATAGGATTGATGTGGGCCCCAAGCTGCTTTAAGGCTGATATCAACCCTGTGATTCCAAGTGAGAGATCAAAGTTTTGGGGTTTATAAGGCGCCACCTAGGCTATGGGGTTTTGGTTTAAGGTAGAAGCCAGAAGACTCAACATTTTCCTGTGGATTGAGGCCTAAATCCTTGCCAAGTTCTCAGCAGATTTTGTGCTGTTTTTCTTTTAGCCCGATTTCGACTTTATTCAGGGACATAATCGGGTTATAAGTCCACTTGCAAGTAGAATTTTAAGCACACCTGGACCTCCAAGTAGGAAGGTCGGGCTTAATACACGGATCATACATTCCCCATACCCCCTAAACCCTAGACCCTAAGCCCTAAACCCGGCTCACCTTGCAATTATTTTTTGGACCGTGTCTGAGAAAATTTCTACAGGACCTTCGGGCTGTGGAGAAAAGGTCCCATAAGAAATCTAAACCCCATGGTAAGCAACTGGTAGTTGTTTAAAGGGTGTAGGCTTCTCAGAGCTGAGCAGTACAGAAGAGACTCAGAGTGAAGGTGTTCACTTGAGGGTTGTTCTACAGGTCTTTTTAAAGAAAGAATCACTGGGAATACGCACTTCCTTAAAATGGGATCCTAACCAAACAGGGAACCTACATGTGCTTGTGAGTGTTAACCATATAAAAAACTATGTTCAACAATGACCCAGTTCCTCGAACCTTTCTCTGAGCTACGTAGGGGTGCTCTGAGGAAAGTTGAAGTATCTGGGAGAAAAGGGGGTTGAAGGGACTATAGCCAGCTGCCAGCTAATGGCGCTAGCCAACATGTAGAGAAACACATAACCCTTCCTAAGCCCTAAACCCTAAACCCTAAATTGTGGGGATGGGGAAGGGAGGGAATCACTGTTCAGGGTAATGTCTCGCAATAATCATGTTCCTGCTAGGAGATGGCATTTGAAGACAATGCGAGCAACTACAAGGCACGGCTTTCAGGGTGCCTGCTTAGGGCTAGGAGTTAGGGTTACAAAGCTATGGTTTGGGGTTTAGGGCTCAGAGTTTCGGGCTTAAGGCGCCCCATTTGCTCGGTTGGTGTTCTGTAGAAGCGTACATGCTGACAGGACCTTCATCTGGTTTGAACTTCACGCAATTGATTTTGGAAGGGTGGGCGTCAGCATTTCTTGCCTGGCCTTCCGCAGCTTTAGGAAGCCCATGCCTCTACATCCATGCGTGCAGTTCCCAAAATTAGGGTCCCATTTTGATGCCCCTAAATATTAGGTGCCATAATATAATCCATAACCAAGAAAGTGCCCACATTTTTGAGAACAACCCATATGGGTGAGCCCCATAATTTGCAGGTAGCTGGCAGTGGCAGTTGCAGTGGTCTGAATGAAATGGAAACTGGGGTTGTTTAGGGGTTGAAGTAGATGGAAAAGGGGATTCTGGCAACACCAACTCCTGGACCAAGGGACCCTACAAGAGTAGTATTTTTTTTTGGGGATACTATCGTACCCAATATAGAGTAAGATGATGTCCTCATTTTGGGTATAGTATTTTGTACAAGGACTATAATCTTACTAGGTTCAACCACCAAAAAAATGCTACTCAGAGGTATGATAGTCATAGGGATCTAGTTGCTGGGGGGGGTGGTGTTAGGGTTGCCAATAACCTCGTAGTATTCAAACGTCACCCTCCCCCCTCCCCCCCCGGGATTGATTTTCATGAATCCATGCGGGCCTAAGCCTGTCCTTTGAAACTTCTTGGCCTTTTGACTTCCCACTCCTGAGTCCTAAACCTTGAAAACGACCACAAATCCCAATCGAAGCCGAGAGCGTCTTCAACGGCTGTCTCGGGTTCGGCGTCAAGTGCGCCGTGGTGGCCATTGACTTCACCAAGGCAAAACCTGAGGGGGTCTCCAAACAGGGAGGACCCTCCAAGCACCCTTCAGGTTCCTTTATGATCCCCTTCTAATTTTCTGGGAGTCCCTAGTTCAGGTTTTGGTGGTGTTGGTGTTGGTGGTGGTGGAAATTAGAAGTAGGGCTAGAAGCAGCAGGAGGAGGAGGAGGAGGAGGAGCAGCAGCAGCAGCAGCAGCAGCAGCAATGAGTTGCGCTTTATCTGGCAATGCTATTGTCCCTAGCAAAGCGCAAGCTTATGTTCTCCCTTAGGGTAGTCAGTATGTAATGAGTTGAGTATAAGCTTGTGTGGTTGTGCTTGTTGCAACCACCACGCCCTTAAACCCTAAACCCTGAACCCTACACCCTAAATCTCAAACCCTAGAGCTTCTCATGATGCTCCTCATGATTTGGGGGTTCCCCAAAATTAGGGATACCATTTTGGGGGTCCCTATGTTAAGGATTATAGTATTTTGGGGTCTATATTGGGGTCCCCTTATTTTGGGAAACTACCATTTTAAGCCCAGCACTCACAGAGAGGCTTACACCACACCTGGGAGTCCCTTCTTCTGCCCTGGTAAAGGCCATGGATGTCAAAATTCCACGTCCATTTGGGTGTAGAGAGTTTGTAGGCGTTAAGTGAGGAATGCTCATCCGATATGTCTGCTTTGCAAAATTCAGGCTTCTGGGAGTCTCTGGATATCCTGTGGGAAAAAGTGCGTGATATCCCCTGCTTTTCGCCAGGGTATGGTGTGGTGGATGCTGTGGCGGAATCGAAGCCGCTGTTGGAGCTGGCGAGGGCCAAGAGCGTTCCAATTTTCTACACCAAGGCTGGCGGGTGACCCCCTGCACACCATGGGAGACCTGCCCCATTTGCCCAATACACGGAGGGCTCCAATGCTAGGTTGGCGAGGGATGTGCAGTTCTAGTGCTGCTACGTGTTGCTTTGTTGCAAAGGGGGGGCTTCAGGGGGCTGTGTGCATCGTGGCGGATGTGCGCAAGGTGTACTATGAGCATCCTACAGACGGCGGCGTTTTCACCCAGAAGATCCCAAGCCTTCGCACATGGATAAAGGAGAACCCGCTGGTGGAGATCGATGAAAGCATCACACCCCATGCAGGTGATTCTGTGCTCGTCAAGCAGCATCTTTGTACTTGCAACGGTATGTTTTTTCTTTCGATTTTTGTTTTCAGTTTCATCCTCTCCCCCCAATATGAACCCCCCC